TATATATATATATATATATATATATGTGTGTGACCCTGGAGCACAAAACCAGTCTTAAGTCACTGGGGTATATTTGTAGCAATAGCGAAAAATACATTGTATGGGTCAAAATTATAGATTTTTCTTTTATGCCAAAAATCATTAGGATATTAAGTAAAGATCATGTTCCATGAAGATATTTTGTAAATTTCCTTCTGTAAATATTTAAAAACTTAATTTTTGATTAGTAATATGCATTGCTAAGAACTTCATTTGGACAACTTTAAAGGCCATTTTCTCAATATTTAGATTTTTTTGCACCTTCAGATTCCAGATTTTCAAATAGTTGTATCTCGGCCAAATAGTGTCCTATCCTAACAAACCATACATCAATGGAAAGCTTATTTATTCAGCTTTCAGATGATGGATATGTCTCAATTTCGAAAAATTTACCCTTATGACTGGTTTTGTGGTCCAGGGTCACATATAGTTTGAATGAAATTAAGTATTTATTATTAATCTTTGAAAAGTATGTACTCAATTTTTCACTGAAGCAAGAAGGTGACTTGTCAGACAGTTCAATCATAATCATAATCACGTATATATATTTAAAGTTCTGGATTCTGTTTTTTTTAAAGAAATTAATCATTTTATTCAGCAAGGACGCATTAAATTGATCAAAAGTTACAGTAATGACATTTAAATTGTCACAAAATACATTTCTATTTCAAGTAAGTGCTGTTCTTTTGCACTTTCCATTCATCAAAGAATTCTGGGGAAAAAATATTAAGTACCACAACTGTATTCAACAGTAATAATTAAAAGAATGTTTTTTGACCTTTGTTACAAAATACATTTCTATTTCAAATAAATTCTGTTTCTATTCATCAAAGAATTCTGAAGAAAAAAATATATAAAAAAACAAAAATTAAGCAGCACAACTGTATTCAACATCAATAATAATAATAAAAAAATGTCTTGACTAATGCTTGTTACAAAATAAATGTCTATTTCAAATAAATGCTGCTCTTTTGAACTTTCTATTCATCAAAGAATTCTGAATGAATAAATAAACAAACAAACAAATAAATAAATATTAAGCAGCGCAACTGCATAAAATTCAGCTTTCCCATCTCAGGAATAAATTACATTTTACAATACATTAAATTAGAAAACAGTTATTTTAAAATGTAATATTATTTCACAATATTACAGGTTTTTACTGTATTTTGATCTAATAAATGCAGCGTTGGATGAGCATAAGAGAGTTATTCCAAAAACATTAAAAAACCTTACCTACCCTAATTCTTTCCCTTCTTCTAATTCTCTTTTACTTCATCTCTCACTCACCCGCTCATCTAAAGAATCAAGCCTTTTGTTTTTCAAGCCCTCTGGTTTGGGCAACATGTTCTAAATCAGATCCTACAGGGAGCCAGTTATGAAGGCTTTGGCTCCAAAGAGACTTTCCTATGTCTGAAAGCCGTTTTGGGCCCAGGCTCTGGTTTCATCCCCTCTTTGGGCAATCGATATATCAGGCTGTTTTTACCCTGGGAGCTTCTAATGGCAAGAGCTCTTGGAGCTCTGGTAACATTATATGTCTAACAGGGGCGGAGGAAGAGAAAACCAGGAGCTTGAGTCTCAATGTGATGCTTCACTCGGCAATAAATCCAAGTGGCAACAAAGCGGGCAGACGGCATAAAACAGATACGAGCGGGGAAAAAGGAAATCTTCAAAAGGAGAAGAGCAGAACAGCAGGACGCATCCTGAGCGCCACAGCGTCTGCAGGACGCCACCTTTGTCAGGACAAACTAAGAGCAAATGTACAGATCGACTCTCGAGTCGGGAGGTTAGCGGTATGGACTTCATAGAGTCAAGAGTTGCCATTCAATGACTAAATGCTCCCACCCCGCCTAGCTCTCCGACCGGCTGGATTCTGAGGAAGAGATGCTGAGGTAATGGCTTCCTTATGGACTCCCGGCACAAGAGTGATGGGCTGACAGAAGGCATGTTAAATATCTCCCGCTCTGACTACAACATCGGGACCCTGACCCCTTTAAAAGGGAAGGCTTAACAAGGGACTCCGAAGGTCAGCGAGCTGTAATATGTCACTGGGATTTAAAGGGAAGACAACTGCGCTGTGTTTACATGAGCTGGGGTTACACTACTTTCAGTCCAAGAAGGAAAAATGTGGGAAAAGGTAGGAATAATTTAACCCTATAATGCCTACTGTATTATATTTGATACACAAATTTCTAAAGCCTCTAAATTACGGTCTTTGCTGAAAAACATTTCATACACAATCTACTATTGTACATGCCTTCTGACTTCTGATTGATAATTAATCTTTTTTTAATAAGAACATCTTTAATGATTTTTATAAATTAAGAAAAACTTTCATATTGTTAACATTATTTAAAAATGAAGACTTACTGGACTGAAGCAACTTAAGTTTACTCAAATATTCATAATTTTTTATAAAATTCATGTTAAAATATGAGTACCAAATATGATGTTTCAGACTTTTGAGAGCTTTTAATCACTATTGTATGTTTTTCCCCCTCAATAAAAACTAGAGTTTTGATCATAAAACAAATCATTTAAATATCATCAAACTTAGACATACTATTGGGAGATATAGGCCTGGTTTCACAGACAGGGCTTAGACTAAACCAGGATTAGGCTATAGTTCAATTAGGACATTTAAGTAATTTTTTATAAATGTGCCTTACAAAAAACATTACTGGTGTCTTGGGACAAAACAAAGGCATTGATATATTTTAAGATCAATCAGTGCAAGTTTCTTTCAGTTGAAACAGCTCAGACTTACATTTTAGTCTGGGACTAGGCTTAAGCCTTGTCTGTGAAACCGGGGGATAGAGTTACAACTGATATTATATGCCTTTTTAATTTAAGTACCCTCTCATTGATTTACACTACAAACTATTAGAATTTCAACTAACATTTAAAGGTTGACATGCACCAAATTTTATATTTCTCGTCTCTGAATAAAACTGAGGTGTTTTCTCCTCTTAAAATACAGTATGAGCTTTATATTTTTACTATATCATATTATATGAGTTCTAAAAGCCTGATGTATCAAATATGATAATCAAAATAAAACTTTTATTTTATAACTTAAATAAATGTATAACTATTATACTTAAAGGGAAAGTTTACCCAAAAATGAAAATTACCCCATGATTTACTCACCCTCAAGCTTTTCTAGGTGTAAATGGCTTTCTTCTTTCAGACGAATACAACCGGAGTTATGTTAAAAAATGTCGGCGTTATATTAAAAAAGCTTTATAATCGCAGTGAAGGGGTGTTAACATTCAATAGTCCAATAGAAGTCCAATAAAGTGCATCCATCCATCAAAGCGCAAGGAAGCAAAGTTTCCTTTGTTTATTGAAATCCTCCAACATTTTCTTTACAAATCCTTGTTTTGTACTTCTGATTCGTGGAAGCCATATATTTAAATAAAGTATTAAATATGGATATTTTCTTACAATAATTCATTGATTTGCTTCAGGAGGCCTTTATTAACCCCCAGAGCTGTGTGGAGCACTTTTTATGATGGATGGATGCACTTTTTTGGGCTTCAAAATCTCGACCACCATTCACTGCCATTATAAAGCTGCCATTATGAAGAGCCAGGACATATTTTAATATAACTTCAGTTGTACTCATCTGAAAGAACAAAGTCGTATACACCTAGAATGGCTTGAGGGTGAGTAAATCATGGGATAATTTTCATTTTTGGGTAAACTATCGTTTTAATATCAAAGGCCGAGTCTGGTTGACATACTTCACTTGAGGTTGGCTTTGAGAAATTAACGTGTTAATGAGCAGAGTCATGTTTGTGTATTGCTTTCTGTCATCCAGACAAATATTTAAGCAGCTCGTTGTGACTATTAACAATAGACAATGTATCATGCAGCTGGAAACAACATTAGAATGATAAAGAAAACATAAAAAAGAGATAACTCACCTGAGAGCATAACAACATAACTAGCTCCACTACCGAGGTGCTTGACTTCATGCACACCAGACCTAGAGAAAAGAAAGAAGTCAGAAATGAATCACTCTTCTTCACCATATTCATTAACACACACACAAAAGCAAAACAAACCTTGGAGGTTGTTTGTTTTTACCTTTGCTTTGACCTATCAAAACTATGCATGTTATACATCTGCAAGGGTTAGTCAAGGGCAGGCCGTCCACATGGCCTCAGAAAAGTGTACTGAATGGTCCCAAAATGCAACCATTTAATGTCACGCAATCATCCAGGCCAGTTCTGATGAGTTATGTTTTGAAGTTGAGACTGAATGTCTCTTGTCATCAGTGCGTTACAGCTAACAGCTCGCGGGGTCACTAATAAGGTCTCTTGAGAGGTCAGAGGTCATCTGCTGCATGCCAGTGTGAGATCAAAAGCAAAGGCCATGGTCTCCCTTGCATACTTCTCAAACTTTGCTAGAATAAGGATGCAACTGATACAGATAGAATAACATATCTTCCAAAAATGTGAGGGCAGAGATTTTAATACAGAAGTGAATATAGGCATATCTTTTTTTCCTCATACAGGCACCATTCTCTTGCAATCAGATGATTTTTCAGTAAAATATGCCGTTTTAAATGAAAAGCCTGTTGTTCATTGAACATAAAGGACAGTTGGCTAACCTCACTGATAAACAAGGTAATTGTAAATGACATGTGCAATTATTGTCAGACATATCAGACAAACTTTCTCTCTCAAACACACACACACTCACATACGCACACCTGCATTAACATACAAACACAGCACATAGCTGATGTCCTTGTTTGCATGAGCCAGTAGAGTCAGAGAGACAGGACTCTAATGAGAGAAAGATGAGGGGGACAGAGAGAGAGAGAGCTCAGTATGAATGTGGTGTAATGAGACTAAGTGGAAGTGATGGAAGAGTATTTATTATTGCATCATTATTACCAGTTCCCATATTTAGGGTTAGGCATTGGAACAAACACCTAACCCTAAGAATTCAACTTTGCCATGTAACTAGTTCGGCATAAATTGTAACTTCAGTTGTGTGGGCTATTGAGAAGATGTGTGCTGTGCAAGACGAGCTTTTGTGGTTAAAAAAGTATATACAAGTATACATAAAGACTTGAACATCTTAGATGACAATGGGGGTGTGTAAATGATCAGGACATTTTTATTTTGGAAGTGAACTAATCCTTTAAGGCTGAAACGATTAGTCAACATTTTTGACACCATCGACAATGAAAAATTGTCAACAAATATTTTTGTTGTCAAATAGTCGTTTGATCTCATGTAAGGGCCTGCAATACTGTTTTTGACCAGTGTAGCACTGTAGCACAAGACTGTAATTCAGCCCTCCCAGATGCAATCCAATAGAAGAAGACACGCTTATGAGACATGCAAATGAAGCCAGTAGAGTGTAAGAAAGTTTTACAAAAATGCAAACAAAAAATGTATGGGACACCATACTTGGCTACACGTCACGTCACATGTGATTAAAAGTTTATACGCAAGCAGCGGTTTACTGTTAGCTAACATCCCACCACCAACAAATACACTAGTATCATTATGAAAACCACCCTGAACACCTTAGCAACCTCATATCTATGTCCTGGCAACCACCCCAGAATTGTGGCAGATAATTTTGCAAGTACTCATTTTCTTAAAAAATCAAAATAGTACTAGTAAATCACAATAATTAAATCTGTATACATACAATCTGTGATAAAACGGTACTATAAATTGAGCTTTACATTCAGCTCACTGAGGGCACCACTTGTCTCGTTACCCACTTAAACATCCTTTCACCATGAATGATCGCTCCTAAACCATTCAGTCCGTGAAGTTATGACCGTAATATTTCAGAGGCCAAGAGTTCAAGTCCCAACAATCTCTCTGTCTCATTTATGAGGGTGAGATGAGGCCGTAAACACAGCGATTCCCCACCGGGGTCCCTCTCTTCAGTCAGGTGGCAGGCCTGACCTCTGGATCATGCTGCTGGACAAACTAAATGCATTCTATTTAAACAGCAAGTCATCGCACTTTCCAGTTAAGCCTCACTGGTGTGAATGTGACATTGTCAGAGGGCCGACGCTTCGCAGAGTTGGGCGCTCAGCTCTCACAAGAAGTGCAGTGTTCCGCCCAGTGGCTTCGCACTCAAACTCCAAGTGTCGAGAGGCTGTCCGAGGGCGAGCGGGGCATAATTGCCCCCAGTGAACGAATGTCTGGAGGGAGGCCGGGCAGGGGTTTGACCCCTAGTGCCGGGCTGAGTGATGGATGAAGGGTAATTATGGGTAAATAGGGCGCCTTTGCGCCGAGCGAACAGTATTTCAGCTGTGAGAGGTTGAGGAAGAGAGGAAGGGAAGGAGGTGGGAAAACAGACATAATTTCTTCTGGTCATGGGATGGTGTTAACATACTGGACAAATGGATGCGGGGGTAAAGAGCCATCTATGAGGAAGTCGCTGTTATGTGTTCTGGAGTGGGGTTCATTTGGGGAGGATCGCAATGGCAATGGCAATGGCAATGCACAAGCACAGTCAATGGCATTTCAAGTTAGATAGCATGAGGATTGGTTGGTCAGAGGATGCCCTAAAGGGATAGTTCACCCAAAAAAAGAATACTATGTCATTATTAATTCACCCTCATGTCACTGCAACAAACCTACAGAACACAAAATATATTTTAAAGAACCTTGGGTTTCAAATATCAGTGGACCCCATTGACTTGTACTGCATCCCATATGGTAAAAATATATTCAATATATTACAAAATGTATTTCATTGCGCATTAAAATGTATTTCTACTCTTAAAATACATTTGGGGTAAATAAAAAGTCATTTTGGGTAAGTTACACACACATAGAATGTAAAGATATTTATTATATATAATACAAAATGAAATTAAATGAGCAAGAAATACATATTTTCTACTCTAAAAACATATTTTGGGGAAATGGTATTATTATTTATTTATGTTATGTTATATTTAGATTTTAAACATATATTATAAAATGGCCAGAAAATATGAGGAAGTCATTAAAATAAGTAACAAAATTGTAACAAAAATGTATTTATGTACAGTATATTACTAATATTTACAATCTATTGCAGCAATACATTTTTGAGACCATATCATGAGTTTAAATCCCAGTCAATGGGTTAATCCTTTGGATAAAATAATTTCCTAATGCACAAATGTAAATGTATATTTATAATACATGCTATATGTAATATTTTCTATGTTTCACAGAAAAAAAAAAGTCAAATAGGTTTAGAACAACATGAGGGTAAGTAAATAATGACACAATTTTCATTTTTGGGTGAGCTATTTCTTTAAATTTATTTAGGCTCTGGCAACCACCTACAACACCCTTCAAACCACATAGCAATGGGCTAAAAACCACCCAGCACACTTTTGCAACCTCATAGCGATGCCCCAGTATCACCCCGAATTTGTTTAGGGAAATTCAATCTTACAAAACCACGGGGTCAAGGTTTGACAGGTTTAGCAAGGTCTAGTTTGCCCCTTCTGGTAGAGTCTTCAACTACAACATCTGAGAGCAAAACACTGACTCAATTGACTAGATTTCACGAGTAAGGTCATGAAATTGTCACCTTACGCCTGTTTTCAGCAGGCAACCAAAACTGTGATGCTTCCTAATGGGGACAGGATTAAGTACGACTACGAAGTTAAAGACAGAAAACTGGCTGTTATAATTCATAAAAAGCAGAGCTTGAATCCAGGGCAGAATGTGTTTCTGAGTATTTCTTTCATGAAATGGCTGCCTGAGCTGTAGACACATATTTCTAGCGTGCCGTAATGCGGAGCTTCATTAGTCGGAACAAACTGGCTTTGAGCGGTGAGGGGTACGTGCACTATGATTTGGCACTGAGGCTGAAAGGTAAAAAAGCCACAAAACAGAACCTGGAGTGTGGGTTCCCATTCAAAGAGAGGTTGCCTTGCCAAGTGAGCCGAAATGCGAGAGAGAAAGCGTGTGCGAGTATGTGTGTGTGGTCCATCACAGCCAGCTAGAGCAGGGAAGTATACTCCAAAAGGTAGCTCAGATGTAGGAGAAAAAAGAGAAAACACAACCAAATAAAATAATAAGTAAATATAAAAATAATCTTCAAAGGTTTGGGTTCTCTTATGCTCACCAAAGCTGCATTTAATTGATCAAAAATATGGTAACATTTATTAATATTGTGAAAAGTTATTACATTTTAAAATAATTGTTTTCTGTTTTAATATATTTTAAACTGTAATTTATTCCTGTGATGCAAAGCTGAATTTTCTCCATTACTCCAGTCTTCAGTGTCAATTTCATAATCCTTGAGAAATTATTTTAAAGGGGTCATATGATGCTGCTAAAAAGAACATTATTTTGTGTATTTGGTGTAATGAAATGTGTTTATGCGGTTTAAAGTAAAAAAAAAAAACATTATTTTCCACATACTGTACATTATTGTTTCTCCTCTATGCCCCGCCTTTTTGAAACACGTCGATTTTTACAAAGCTCATCGTTCTAAAAAAGCGAGGTGTGCTGTGATTGGCCAGCTATCCAGTGCGTTGTGATTGGCCGAATACCTCAAGCGTGAGACGGAAATGTTATGCCCCTCACCATACTGTTGTATTCCCTCAGCGACCAGCACGGATCAGCTCTAGGCATGACGAAGCGGATATCGTCCTCTTTTGGAAGACCAAACAAAGTAGTTTCACTTTCACAACGAAGCACACAGCGTCTTCAGGATATGGCGGCGGCAACAATACTACAGTGAGAATAAAAGTTACGCCTTCTTTCTTTCCGTGAACATTTGGGCAAATCTTCCCACAGAGCCACGTAAGTATGTGGGGGCGTGTTAGAACGAGCCGTTTTAGGTAGGTGTGGCTGACTC